CACCAGTTGTAGCACAGAGGCACTTAAGAAAAATTCAAATTGATATTGTGTGTTGCACTGACAGACTAATTATCAATACAGAACTGGCTATTTTATTTTAATATCAATAATGGAGAACACAGCAGGATTTTGTGCTTCATTATTGTGTTAGCCAATGCTGGAACCACGCAGAGAGTTGCAAATTAACTACTGTTCTCTAAGCATTTAAAACTATTCTTGGTTCATTAGAAATCACCTTGAACGTACAGAACTGGACATAATCTGCTTGGCAAAGAAACTGAAGATTGTGACAGACATATCTGCAGGAAAATGTCCACCATCCTGCCAGTTTCAGAAGGTTCAAGCTAAAGGAACTCTAGGAATAACCATACCAGTGGGTGGCTCAGGTTAGGGCCCAAGTGTGCTCTTTTGGAAGACAGATTTTTGCCAGAAAAGCCAAAACTTAGAATATCAAAGTTCCTGCTCTGCAGAGAGCTTTGGCATTTGTCAGCAATGGTGTGGTAGTGATTCACCTGTCTACAAGCGTGCAAATAAGAATGCATAGAGGTATTGAAAGTGATATAATGCTTTTCCCTAATGAAAAATGAGAGACTTCACAACAGCTGCTGTGCTTTATCTATACTGATACTCTTGCTAAAATAATCCAGTCTTTTCAACCAACTCTCTAGCATTGTTTCCTTGCCTCCTAAGGAAGCAAGGCACACATGGTCATGTATGACTATCCATCTACCTACTTATCATTCCACACGTAATCCCATGATTTTTCATCTGTTTGCCAATTTCAAACAAATTCAGTAATAAAGACAGAGCCTCAAAGAAATCAATTTTCTATTCAATTCCTAAGCTTCATCAAGCTGAGCTGTGGACAAAAATGCAGTTCTCTCGGGGCAAAAAGCAGTTCAGTGCAGCCCTTAACCACGGGCCAACTACAACTACACTCACCTGCCAGATAGGAACAGTGCAACTGGGTGAGAACTATTGGCATGGCACAGGCCTGGGAGAAAGATGGCCACTATGGAAAATAGAAAAAAAATCAGTAAGACATCCAACCTTACTAGTTTCACTGTTCATGGACCAGCTTGTTTAACAACAAACATGTCTCAGAAGGTAGGTCTGCTTCATGAAAGCACAAGGACAGTAAAAGTAAACCTACTGGACTCCAAATGATGTATGACAATTTAAATATTTAACACAATACTTAACATAATCTCTGCGAAATAATGTTCTATCTTCTGATAGGTAATTTTCCTTGTGATGAAATGGCAATACAAGCAGTACAAGTAAAACTTACATCACTTCTGTCATGCAGAAATTGTGTTTGTATTACCAACCACGCACAAGTAACAGAATAAAAGGCTGACTTAGGAAAAAAGCTTCCGCTGTGCAGGGCCAAGAAAGTATTTCATTTTCCAAATAGGTCTGCGCATCACTGTCAAATGATTGTCAGGGAACAAAAATTCAAAAGCTTTTGTGCAGTTTGTGAGCAGAGCCCATACAGCACAGGTTAAGACAATCTGAGAAATGAAAAAATACTTACAGTAACCACGAGCACAAATCTCTGAGCAGCCAGCAGAAGGATGTGAATGACAGTGCTATGAAACCCCTGGGACTGCCCCTGCTGGGTGTCTTCTGGTCAGACTTGTCTGTATTTTGGCTGCTAGCACAGTATCTGCAGCACACAGTGCTATGTTATTCTTCAAAAACCCATGTCAGCAAAGATAGAAGAAGGGCATAAGGGGAAAATGGGCACTTGATGGTTGGACTTGATGATCGTAGAGGTCTTTTCCAACCTTAATGATTCTATAATTCTAGAGCAGACATGAAACAACTCTGCCTAACTCAATCCTTTCTGCCAATTGCCCAAGAGCCAGCTGCCTATCAGCCAAGAACTGATTACAAAGCAGAGAGGTTGTCCTATGAACTCCAGAGACACACTTTTAGGAGTGAGGGTTCCCGGGACAAAGCCTGAGCCGGCAGGGAGAACTCTCCTGAGAGGGAATGGCAGCACTGGGCAGTAACAGGTACTGATGGCTGATTTCAGTACATTGAGTGGGAGCTACTCTTGAATTCAACAGCCAGTGCACTCTAATAGGTCTGGATAGCCTCTAGGACAACTCCAAATACACATCTGTTACTGAAGCTTAGGCTGGGAGTGTGAGCCCAGTGTTTCACCTTCAGCATTGGAGAGATTTGGAATACAGTGCAGGAACAAAACTGGCCACCATGTGGGTACCCCAAAGCCCATGTGTTTGACAAACTGATGTGCTCTGTATGGACAGATTTTCTAGAACGGAAGCAGCAACTTTGAGGATTCAGCTCCCCCCTCCATTACCTATATGCACCACACCTGTCTCATACCCTTTTACTTCTACCATCTGTAATTTGCCTCCAACTCTTTGGCTTCTTGGATCAAGAAGTATGGCATACCTAGGAAGTATAAACCAGTGTAGAAGGGAAAAATGGGGGAGAAACACATTTTTCTCATCTTGAAACCACACACATAGGTCCTCTGGGACACTAGAGGAGGGCAAACTAAGATCTGATGAGAAACATATGATATGCATTGGAGACATGATATACCCTTCCTTCTCTTCCGTTCATATCTGGAGTGCATCTAGGCATTATCTGAGTGAAAAGCATAGAGAATGCATCATATCTAAAAGCATGAAAGCTTTATACAAGGCAACACAAGCAGTTTAAGGTAGTCAATTTAATACACATATAAATATAAATGTACAGTTGTAAGAAGTATCCATGTAATTTTTTTTCAGCTGTCCTATTGGCTTCAGTGCTCCTCCGCAAAAAAAGGTAAAGCTGAAACCATCATCCTCATTTCTCACTGACTGCATGACATCTGCTTGCCCTGCAGTAGCTAAGCACTCTTTACTTTATCAACAGACTCTTGAGAATATTTCTGTTCCTTTTCTGAATGTGATTACAGGCTTCTTTATAAAAAATACTGTAGCAGTCTTGTTTGACCCTCTTAAAGAACAATGTTGCTAACCCAATTGGTTTTCCTGTAAAGTTCATATTTTTCTTAAAGCATTCGCTGCTGAAATTGGCAAAGATCCATTTCCCCATGCTGAGATTCTCAGAAAGATGTACAAGCCAAGGTGACTCTTTGGTTTCTTTCATTGCAGGAAGACAAGCACCGAAAGAGAGGATTCCTTAGCCATCAACAGGAGAACCCTGTCCAACTCATCTCCCAATCCAAAAGACTGCAGGAAAGTATCTGCCTTTTAAATCTGAACAGGAGACTGAAAACATAAAGTAAGTATCCTCAAAATGAGGGAACAAAAAATATGTTGGAATGAAAAATTCAAAGCCTGACGATATTGAAGCAAATATTTACACTTGTGGTGTGGGCAAATACAAACCTAGAAGCACCACGAACGTTATCAGAGAAGTACAAGGAGCTTTGGTTTCAGAAACTCAAGACCAAGCATCTTCATTAATTTACTGTTTATTAACTTATGCCATTGATGTCAGGTTTTGTTACAGCACAGCATGTCATAGTTTCCAGAAATAGATGCAAAAAACATGGTTTTGTAATAAATGATTTGATTTGTATAAACTATTATTTGATTTCCTAAGCTTACATGTGTAACATTTGCTGACAACCCAGAGGAGCATCTGTCTTTTGGAGAAATGTAGGGAACATGAGTAAAAACACTCAAGAGAAAAAATTGTTGACCATAATGTGCTGAAGGCAAAGGCATCCGACAGCAAAAATATGGTGCTTGAAATGCCTGGTAATGCCCCACCCAGGCTACTGTGTCCAGGTTTTGGACCCCCAGCTCAGGAAACACACGGAGCTGTTGGAGCAGGTCCAGAGGAAGGCCACAAAGAAGATGGATGGATGGTGCTGGAGCACCTCTTCTATGAAGGCAGGCTGTGGAATCTGAACATGTTCAGTCTGGAGAAGTGTTCAGGGAAGACTTCATTGCAACTTCCCAGTACTTAAAAGGAGCTCATAAGCATAAGTCTTCAGGGAAGACTTTTTTATACAAGTAGACAGTGATAGAACAAGGAGGAACGGTTTTAAATTAAAAGAAGGGAAATTCAGGTTAGATGTCAGGGGGAGATTTTTCATGGAGAGGGCGATGAGGTGCTGGCACAGCTGCCCAGAGAAGCTGTGGTAGCCCACCCCTGGGGGAGCTCAAGGCCAGGTTGGATGGGGTCCCGAGCAGCCTGAGCTGGTGGGGGGCAGCCCTACACACAACAGGGGTTGGGTGGATGGGCTGCGAGGTCCCCTCTAACCTAAGCCATTCTATGATTCTGTGTTCTATGAAATGATTGCTGTAAGTGGCTTAATCCAAAACCCCGTGGAGGTGACGAGATTCTTTGACTTAAATCATACTATTTGTCCCATTGTGTACCAGGAACTGAAAGATGAAAGGCACTACGTGCAAAGGAACTACGGAGCCACAGCCGTTGGAAGGTCTTTCACCGTCCACTAGTTCACACGGACGAGAGCTGCGCTTAGTGTTGGCCTCAAGCTTTATCAAGCTGTTGTTGTTGATGTCGACCTGGTTTCTTTTAACTAGAAGCCCACTCAGTGGCCCACATCTTCTCTTCCTCTCAAGCTCTGCTTGGCTCGCGCCTGAAGGAGCCACGCACGGTCCGGTGTGATCGCGAGGCTGTCAAGGAGTCGCTCAGCTTTCCCCTCGTTTACATGTGTCCGCATCTCCTGGGGGGCCGCTTCCCAGCCAAGAAAACCCAGCTGCTACCTGCCCTCCCAGAGCCCCATCCTCCAGCGGCGTGGACGCAAGCCTCTGTACACGCTTCATCCCGGCGGATCCGCTGACGGCTGCAAGCAGACGAGCAGCAGCCAAGAGGGCGACGCGAGAAGACCCGCGCCCGGCAGGGAGGACCGAAGGGGCGGCAACCCGGCCCCGAGGGGCGCCCCTTCCCGCCTCCTCGCTCCTCCCTGCCGCGCTCCCGCCTCCCGGCCGCCCCTCGCTGTCTCCCGCTGCGCAGAGCGCCGCGCCGGCGGGGGCATGGCGAGCCAGCGCTGCTTCGCCAACCGCTTCGATGACTACGCGGGCAGCCTGGCGGCCGCGCCGGACAAAGAAGCGGCGGTGCCGCTGGTGACGGCCACCATCGAGCGGATCTTGAAGGAGCTGCCGCCGCTCGGCGGCGGGGCGGCGGGCGGTCCCCGCGTCTGCCAAGGCGGGCTGTACGGCGGGGTGGCCGGCGTGGCCTACATGCTGTACCACGTCGCGCAGTGCCCGCTGTTCGCGCCGTCGCGGGAGGCCTACCTGCGGGCCGCCCGGCGCGTGGTGGACGCCTGCCTGCGCTACCAGGAGGCGGGCGGCGAGGCCGACGCCGACACCCGCGCCGCCTTCCTGCTGGGCGGCGCCGGGGTGTACGCGGTGGCAGCCTTGGTGTACCGGGCGCTGGGGCTGCCCGACTTCGCCCGGCCTCTGGGCAAGTTCCGCGAGCTGAGCGAGGTCTGCGCGCCGCTCTCCTTCCTCGAGTGCGGCTCCGACGAGCTGTTCGTGGGACGCGCCGGGTACCTGTGTGCCGCCCTGGTGCTGAAGCAGCGGCTCGGCATGGAGGTAAGGAATCCCCGGCTCCCCCCGTGCCGCCGCCGCGGGAGCTGCCTTCCTCCTAGAGCAGGCGCTTGTCGGTCACCCGTGCCCCACAGGAGAGGAGGGCAGGTGCCGAGGGATCTGCCGGGGGGCTCTTCGAGAGCGCGTCCCTAAAGTAACGTGGGTCGGAAAGCAGGTGAAGCAGGACAAGGGACTTATTATTACTGCAAGTGGTGCAAGGGAGACGGTGTTCAAAGGCACGTGTGCTTACTGACCCCCGCGCTCAGCACAGGCTTTCGGAAATCCGACCCTGCCTTGTGGTGCTTTTTGTGAATGGGAGCTGCGTGGGTAAGGCTTGCTTACGGCTCAGCTCTCTGCTGATTTCGGGAGTCGGGAGTTTACCCTCGGATATTGCCGTTGGCAGCGCTTGGCGTTCTGAGCTTCCACTCAGTACGGTCCAGTAGCTAACGCTGCTGTTAGCTGTGTTTGTTACCGTGCGGTCAGTGCGGTGTCAGAGAGGGCACTCAGTAGATCTTCCTTCCTGTCCTCCTGTCGAGTCCGATCTGCGTCTTCTCTGTTCGTCACTGATTTGCAAGTTCGCGTGCTTATGGCATTTTTTTTTTTTCCTCCTGGGAGAGTAAGCAACTGTTACAAGTAAATAAATGCTGCAGGAAGGAGCCGTTCTGCCCCCTCCAATAACAGGCGTTGAGATAGGAGTCCGAGGAAATTCACTTAATGGAGGACTGCAGGGACTCCAGCGGATCAAAGGGAATTGTTAAGTCAGCATCGTGGATTTTTTTATTGCCTTGAACAGAAATTCTTATAGCGCTAAGCATTTAAAGGAGCCGGGCATTCATGATAAAAGGATTCTGTCTGAAGACCCGTAAAGATAGGATGAGTTACATTATTCCTAAACATAGCATATCTGTACTTTTCATTCAGACAGCATTTTCTGTGGAAGTTCTGCAGAGGCAGCAGTACCAGTTCTAGGGGATGGTTCTTCGCAGAGGTATCAGCTATCTTGGCAGTTGGGGTCACACTGAGGGAGTCTGTGCTTCCAGTTGTACACTGACATACCAGCTGTACAAAACAGCACCCTGAGCTCTACTACTTCAGTTATTTCCCCCCTCCTGCTGGTCTTGCATCCTTGACAGCAATCTGAGCAATCTGCAGTTCAGAAAGTGGGTGCAATCTCCTGATGTCCTTTGACAAGCAATACAAAGAAGGGGAAAGCTTTCCCCGTTTCCTTGCTTGCCAAAAAAGCATACTTTACATGGCTGTCAAGAGTTAAAACTCCCAACAGGTGAGCACAGGTGTGCACATATTGTGAAATTCCTCCAGCAGGTGAGTTGAGGACAATCATAGGGGATCTGTTATGCCACAGTCACAGTAAGACATATTGTGTCCTCTTGCTGATGTTTCAATTAGTCCTTCCATAGCATTGTTAATTCTGTCACCGCTGAATGTCACTGCAATTTTAATGGTGCAGGGAAAGAAAGAAATCAAAATATTTAAAATTGTTAAGTATTAATACTTTAAAAATAATTTTAATAAAAATTAAAACTTTTAATTAAAAATGCTTTTTTCCTTATGAGAGCGCAGCGATCACAGTCTGTAGTCTGTGTACTCACGCATTAGCAAAATTCAGCTTGCTGATCAAAGTTTCCATCCTCGTACAGAATTATTTTAATTAGTTCATTGCCAGAGCAGATCCTGCATCTTTTTACAAATGAGGAGAGGGATGCCCAGAGACAGTGCACGTAATGTTATTACCCAAGGTCAAACGGAAAGCCAGGTACATCCCGGAATAGAAACAACTCCTTGTGATTCTAGCCACTGGAAAATGCTACCTCCTGTAATTTGATTGTGCACAGCCTCACATGGCTCATTGCAGCATGTTTTCTTGTTGCACGCATTCTTTGGATGCTGCTGTGCAAACATTTCCAGCACAAAGAGAAGTCCATTCCTTACACTAAAATATGGCCACTGCTGCTCGTGTGGTTGTTTACTCCTCTGAATAAGTTAAATTGTAATCTACGTACAAGAAATCAATTGTACTTGAAGGAATCTGCCATTGATGACGTGGGCTTGGTTTTTCCAAGCAGCAGAGGAAGGAGACCACTCTATTTCAGTAAATACCAGTTTAGCTCAGCTGCTGTGCCCCAGTGCTTCAGTCCTAGCCTCAGTTTTTTAAAGCTTCACATATTCTTCAGGAAGTTAATTGACTGTCCTGAAAGATCCATTCAGTTGAATAACTTTGACCTCATGTGAAGAAAGCATTTGCATTCTGCTGGTTTTCAGAGTTTTAGGCTAATACAGCATTTTTTCCTGATGAATTAATTGGGAATTTTTGCATGAGTAAGGATTACTTAAACAGGCAAGAATTAACAGTCTGACCTTCTTGATGCACAGTGACTCTATGCTTCAGGAAAGATGGTCATTTCCAACCTTTCTTTTATCTCTCTTACATTGTAATCGTGTCTCCTAGAGGGAGATAGGTGAAGTGTTTTTGCAGAAACAATATTATCATTTGTACAGGGTACACACAGATAAGGTGCATGTACCTGAGCAGTCTTTAATCCATGTGTTTTCACTGTTTTCTGCTCTTGCTTCTTCAGGTCATTCTTTCTGATGCTGCTAGCCTTGCCTTATTGTGTATTTTGGAGGGAATCCATCAGTTCTGCTTTTATGCAAATGGCAGTAACAAACCACTAAAGTGGTGGTCTTGCCCCTTTGTTCAGATGGTGTTTTATCATCTGCTGATGTTATCTCAGTGATGTTTTTCTCCCATTTCATGGTTGATGGAGCATGGTGTGCCTCAGTATTTGCGCTTCCTTCTGGCAATGTCACACTGTCAGGTGATGGGGGAAAAGGTACAGAAGTTCAAGTGGCTTCTTGCATCACCATCTGCTGAGATGCTATGACTTTTCAGCACAAATCAGGTTTTCTTTTAACGACTGGCTGAACTGGTGGGCTTGACTGATTTCCACCAGCTCTAGACTGCAGCAAAAAAGACAGCAGCCAATAGCAGTATGCCTTCTAGGAGGCAAAACAATGTTCTACATGACTGCCTGGTGCTTCATTCAAGGGACAGGAGTTTCTAAAGACACTGGGGACATTGTAAGAGATGGTTGCCTGCAGTTTCGGTGGTGAGCTGCTTGAACCATCAGGCTGTCAGCAGTGTGGCCAAGCCCATCCCCTCAGGGGCTGAGCCACTAGGGTCATTCCTGGAAACCCACGTGTTTGGTCCATTTTTTTCCAGCTCTTAGAAAAAAAACAGAGAAAAAACAAAAGGAAGGAGCTTGCTGATGAACATGTTCAGAGGGATTGAACAGTGCCCATTTGAGGACAGGCTGAGAGAGCTGGGGCTGTTCAGCCTGGATATGAGAAGGCTCTGGAGAGACCTCATTGTGGCCTTTCAGAATCTAAAGGAGGGCTGTAAGAATGAAGGGAAGGGACTCTTCAGCAGAGTTTGTTGTGACAGGACAAGGGGAAATGGTTTCAAACAAGAAGAAGGGAGATTTAGACTGGATGTAAGTTTTTTACAGTAAGAATGATGAGGCACTGGCACAGATTGTCAGAGAGTCAGTGAGTGCCCCATCCCTGGAGACACTCAGGGTCAGGTGGAATGGGGCTCTGTGGAACCTGATGTAGCTGTAGGTGTCCCTGTTCACTGTGGAGGAGTTGAACCAGGCAACCTTTAAGAGTCTCTTCCAACTCAAACAATTCTATGTTTCAATGTTCCTTTGGGACTTTCTGAAGTGGAAGTTTCTTCATGCTGAAGACAGTGTTTATGAAAGGCAGTTGATGGATTGGTCTTAGAAAGGGAGCTCTGCAGAATATGTGCTGAAGGGATGCTCTTCCAAGTGCTGTTGTGCAAGGTCCCATGCTGGGCTTTTATTCCAATCTACACCTCAGTTGGAAGACTTGTTCTTTGAGGTGAGATTTCATTCTTTCTCTGTGTTAAAGTCCTTTCTCTCATGTGGAAGAATTTGCCAGTTCATCTGAAGTGCGGTGGCATTTGTAATGTCAAACGCACAAACTGTGGTGCTAGCTGGAGCTCTACTGATTTCATTATTTCATTTTACACAGGCCACTACACAGACAGGATGTCAGTTTTGCCACAGAGGATTTAAGTGAGATACCAGAAAAGATTAAAAAAACAAAAGGATTTCTTTCTAGCCTGCTTCTTTTAAATGTCCTTCTGTTTATGGTTTCTCAAGCCACACAGGACAGATTTTGCATTAATTTGCTTAAATTGATGAATTTAAGCTGGGAGTTGACATGGGAGTTTTCTAAATAAAGAGCGAATCAAAGGGAATTATTTAAATTTGGATTTGTTTAGTAAGCATTCTAAAATAGTTTGGGTCTCCATTTCAGAATTTCTCTATCTTTCTTCAGCAGGGCAACATGAGTCTTTATTTTAAACAGCCTTCAAATTCTGAATCTGGGCCATTGTGATAATGGCCACCTGGATCCAGCTTGGCATGGTGGAAGCTGAATGTCCAACTGTAGAGATAAAGCAGAGAAATTAATTTTGAAAGTATTGAATTTCAAAAGTTTTGTTTAACTGGCAGTAAAAAGCACAGTAGTACAAAGCTTACAGGAAGGATCCTGCCAGGACTGCAGATTTGATTGACACAATTTTAACGGTACATATACATTTTCTGTTGGGCTGCAGAAATATGGATTTTGACAGCTTATAGCTTAAGAGTGGTAGTAATCTGCCATCATCTTCTAAAAAGAGCTTTATACAAAGGCAGTCAGATATGCCTTTACTTTCTCACGCTGTTGGAAAAAATGTTTGCCAGTTCAGCATCATCTTCTTTGCAGAAATACCAACCAAATACTGACATTCCAGTGTTTGTTTAATATAAAAAAAAGGTTCTTATTCAGAGTAGTCTCTCATAGCCATATTAGATCCCTGCTTTCCTATATTCCTCCTAACGACTTTACATTTCACATACAGCGAGTTCACTTCTAAACCTTATCTGTTCCATCATCATCCTCCTCATCACAAGGAACAG